AGAGAGAAACCCAGGCTTTGGGCTTCATAAAAAACTTCTCCTCAATTTGGGGACAACCTTTAGTACCACATTGGGTCCCTTTAGTGATGATTTTTCTGCATTCCCTCACCCTAACTCCCAGTCTGTTGGGAAAGAGACGCAGGAACGTTTGGAGCATTTCTCCCGCACTGAAATACATGTATGAATACGCAGCGGCTCCTCCAGGTTCGCAGGGAAGCAGTCAGGACCCTGGATAGACCCCGACCCCTCCAGGGAGGCAAACGCTGTGTAGCAGTTTCCTGGCTGCAGGGGATGGGGGTGTTACGCTCCCACTTGTAAACTGAGGTAAGATCTGGTGAAGTCGGATCTACAAATGTTGCTTCTCTTCCTTAAGCTTTAGCTTGCGCTCAACGAAGCTGCTGTCCCCTAATGAGAGCTCAAGGAAACAAGGCCAGTAAGACTGTGATGAAGGGGTCCAACACGCCAGTACCTGAAAAATCTTCTGTGCTGATAGCTGCCCCCGCGACAGAGACTAGGGCTCGAATCTGCCTGCCTTCTTGGCCCAACTTTGTAGTCTAAATTTCTTGCCCTCAGTCCCAAACATTTAGGTCCAGAGGTTCTAAAGCAGTTTGAATTTGAAAGCACCCTAATTTTCTGAAGAAAAAAAAACTGTCACCAGGAACTGAATTCTTAGTTCCCCAGCACAGAGGCAATTGATGTAGTTTCTAGACAGAACACAAGTTAAATATCATTTGCACACTTAAACTAGGAATTTTAAGCTCAAATCAGCAGACAACTGAGGCCTGGATCTCTCCACATAAATATGTACTTACTTTATGCTATTCATTATATCTGTACAAAAATTCTGCCATTATATGTTAGTTTCTCTTCTACTTTATACATGTATCTAAAAAGCAAAGAAGACTAATAATGTCTTTTCCAAGATAATTCAATGATAAATTGGACACTTAGAATATTTTAGCACTGAAAGAGAGAGTTAATTTCAGGATGAGCCCGTAAATTTGGGCTTCTCCTCAGACTAGGAGGTGAAAGGCGGCTTTCCTTAGGTTGTAAAATGCAGTCTGGAAAGAATGAATATTAACTTGCACATAAGTCTTTAAACAAAAATTTAGAATTTTAAATAGAATTTCAGAGTTATATTTGCATCTAACACTGGAAATCCATTAGAAAATGTATGGATTTAAAAAGACTTTAACCAATTGTTAATTACTTAAACAATATACTTACTTAGTTAATGAAAAGCCTGTTCTAGTATCCAGCTGTTTGAATTTGTTACATTAAAACAAATAGTTGTAAAGCTAAATTTATGATTTCACTGCAATGTAGAAAAGATAAAGGAAAAATGAAGTATAATATGCAGCAAATTAATATGCAGCAAAATATCCATGTTAATAAAAAATAAAGAATAAATATTATTTTTCTCAAAATGTTCTTATATTTTAAAAATCTGATAAATGTCTACACATTTATTGAGCCCTCTTATTAACACTGAACACACATTTTGAAGAGAGCAAACACTGCTTTATTTTTTAATTCTACAATCTCTATGTAGTTAACAAACTCTTACCAACAAAAAAGGTATGGAAGGAAACAGATATTAGTCAAAAGAAGGAAAAAAGTCTCAATTTTCCTTAGCCTGAACTACAGATAATTCAGAAATAATCTAATATAGTTTTTTAAGTAAAAATCAATGCATATTTATAAAGTCAACTTGGAGAGGGGGGTCTACTTTGGGTCATAAATCTTTGTGATTATAGAGTTATCGATAGAAGCAATATGTTGATTAATGTTTTTAAAAAATCACAAATTTCCAAAATAAAAGAACATTAGCACTTGTGTTTTCCAGGGATGCTTAGGTTAAATGCCAGTCTTAACCCAGACACTTATCTTCAATACCCCAAATCATTAAGACTAACTATAATGTTCTGCAAATGTGTGAAGTGGAGGAATCACCCATGTCTTCTCATGGCTATCTACCAGGAAAACTCTCAAATAAATCTTAACATTTCAAACAACAGCAATGACGACTAATACTGCAGTAACAGCATTTCACAGATCATTTTAAAAAAGCATATCCCTTTCCTATAGCTCACCTACTCTGGAAATTATGCCTTTTCAATCCTATTTCAATGTTTAGAAATAAAAATATGAATTAAACATTTAAAATTTGAAGAGAACAATCCATGTGATAGAATTCTCGCATTTTCTAAATGTTTTCATTTTAAGCATTTGCAGAAGAGTTAAATACACATAGCACACATACTAAATTCGATTAGAGGTTCAGAGAACCCGACATTTTATGTACCCAAAAGGTCCGAAAAGAACTGATGCAAATGTCAATAGCTCTCTCTCTTCTGGCTGATACTTAAATGGTTTTACTAGTTCTCAAAGGAATGAAACCAGCAACTCTCCACACTCTAGTCAACATTCCAATTTCAAAGCCGCAATTCGCAAATGTCAGTTGGGCGGGGGCAGTGAGGGGTCTTGAAGTAATCCAAAAATTTCCTTTTCTCTCTGACAGTTTACCAAAAGATGTCAAACCAAATCCAGCCCTATTGCAAATCACTGAGACTTTCCTTCCAAGGACACCGGACACAAGCATAGGCACCACTGCAAAAAGCTGTCCTAAAGCGCCTGGCTTGGCAGACACGTAAGAGACCCAAAACAGAACGAATTAGAACTATCAGGAGGATCCCGAAGAGATATCGGGAATGAAGAGGGCATTTATTCAGGGCTATACAGCTAAGAACCAAAGAAAGTAGCCCCAGCCGGTCTGTTGGGCCTCCTTCTATCCAACCAAGTTCAGGCGTATGGCAAGATACATCAGTGGGGTCCCTTCCTCTACAAACATCACAGCCCGCCTCCGGGGTCCACTATCTTTCAGAGGGAAGAACCTCCAGCTTCACATCCGTCTCTTTTGCCCCCGTACAAAAGGCAGAGGAGGCTATTGAGCTGACCTAGCGCTGTGGGGCAATAAAAATGCCTTGTTCGGGCCACCCATCTTTGGGCCTGGCTTCAACTGCGCTGTCAGCACCAATGTTTTTTGTTTGTTTTGTTTTGTTTACAATGCGTCCTGGGCGGGTATATACATGGGGAGGGGGTGGCTGTTGAACGGAAGAGAGGAGGGGTCCGTTAGTGGAGTTGTTAGAGAAACCTCCTTTCTCTCTCCTCCTAGGGTTGCTGTGTAGGGAGTGTCGGCCACGTCTAGCGCACTGTCCCAGGCCCCGGGTGAAGGTAGCCAGGGGAAATGGGGCTCAGAGATTGCTAAGCAAACGACATCATTGGTGGGCTCCAGCGCCTGCGAAGGTGGGGTATTTTTTTCTTAAGGGCGTGTTATTTGTGAGTTGTTTCCTTTTGGAGCGGGGAGTGGGGGGTCATTCGTTAGTCGTTTTGAGGCGGCGCGGGGCGGGGGGTG